CCACCGAGGCCGCCGCCTACGAGCCCACCTCCGTCTTCACCACCGCCCTCGCCCCCCCCGCCCTCGCCGCCGCCTCCGTCGCCACCGCCCTCGCCGCCACCGCCGAACCCACCACCACCCTCGCCGCCGCCACCGAGCCCACCCCCACCCTCGCCGCCACCGCCGCCCTCGCCGCCGCCAAGCACGCCACCGCCGTCGCCACCGCCACCGTCGCCGCCGCCTCCGAGCCCGCCGCCGCCTTCGCCGCCGCCCCCGAGTCCGCCGCCGCCCAGCCCACCACCGCCCTCGCCGCCGCCGCCCTCGCCGCCGCCTCCGTCACCGCCGCCCCCGAGCCCGCCGCCACCCTCGCCCCCTCCGTTGCCACCCCCTCCGTCTCCGCCGCCCTCACCACCGCCGAGCCCACCGCCTCGTGTTGAGGTTGCTATCGGAGACAACGTGACCACGACAGTTGCCTTTCTCGTCTGGACAAGAAAGTTTTACGCGGTGCGCTTCACGGGCGACGCCGTCAAAGAGGGCGACTACGCCACGTGGATTCCCTTGGAGTATGCTGAACGGCACCCGGGGAAGGAGTGTGATCAGGCATTCAACACTTCGGCCTTCTCAATCACAAACAGCTTTGGGAATCGGGTCGATGGCGCATGGGATGGCGTCACCGAAGACCACGGCGGTCGCGTGGAGAGAAAAGAGGAACCGCCCGGGTCTGGAAGGTATGTGCTTCTCAGTGACCTTGTTCTGACCAACCCAGGGGAAGACACGGAAGATTTCGAGTCGCCCCTCAACACGCATGAGCCAGCGGGAACCTATCTACTCTGCCTAAGAGCGCTAAACAGAACGGGTGCAGACCTCGATCTTGAGCTCGAGGGAGCAAGACAAAGAAGAGCAAGACAAAGAAGTGCGCTGCAATCGCAGTCGGTCCTCCCGCAGGCGGTATTCTACTCAAACGTCTACATCGTGGTGCATAACAGCCCTCCGCTTGCGCCACCACCGTCGCCGCCGCCGCCCTCACCACCTCCGCCATCGCCGCCGCCACCCACGCCACCTCCACCCTCGCCGCCGCCACCAAGCCCGCCGCCACCGAGCCCGCCGCCCTCGCCACCCTCGCCGCCCGCATCTCCATCGCCGCCGTCAGCGCCACCCTCGCCACCCTCGCCGCCCGCATCTCCATCGCCGCCGTCAGCGCCGCCCTCGCCGCCCTCGCCGCCCGCATCTCCATCGCCGCCATCAGCGCCACCCTCGCCGCCGGCATCTCCATCGCCGCCATCAGCGCCGCCCTCGCCGCCCTCGCCGCCCGCATCTCCATCGCCGCCATCAGCGCCGCCCTCGCCACCCTCGCCGCCCGCATCTCCATCGCCGCCAGCAGCGCCGCCCTCGCCGCCCTCGCCGCCCGCATCTCCATCGCCGCCGTCAGCGCCACCCTCGCCGCCGGCATCGCCGTCTCCCCCTGCGTCACCCTCGCCGCCATCAGCGCCACCCTCGCCGCCCGCATCTCCATCGCCGCCGTCAGCGCCGCCCTCGCCGCCCTCGCCGCCCGCATCTCCATCGCCGCCCTCAGCGCCGCCCTTGCCGTCGGCATCGCCGTCTCCCCCTGCGTCACCATCCCCGCCACCAGCGCCACCCACGCCGCCTGCATCTCCATCGCCGCCATCAGCGCCGCCCTCGCCGCCCTCGCCGCCCGCATCTCCATCGCCGCCGTCAGCGCCAACCTCGCCGCCCTCGCCGCCCGCATCTCCATCGCCGCCGTCAGCGCCGCCCTGGCCGCTCTCGCCGCCCGCATCTCCATCGCCGCCGTCAGCGCCGCCCTCACCGCCCTCGCCGCCCGCATCTCCATCGCCGCCGTCAGCGCCACCCTCGCCGCCGGCATCGCCGTCTCCCCCTGCGTCACCCTCGCCGCCATCAGCGCCACCCTCGCCGCCCGCATCTCCATCGCCGCCATCAGCGCCGCCCTCGCCGCCCGCATCTCCATCGCCGCCATCAGCGCCGCCCTCGCCACCGTCGCCGCCCGCATCTCCATCGCCGCCGTCAGCGCCACCCTCGCCGCCCTCGCCGCCCGCATCTCCATCGCCGCCATCAGCGCCGCCCTCGCCGCCCGCATCTCCATCGCCGCCATCAGCGCCGCCTTCGCCACCGTCGCCGCCCGCATCTCCATCGCCGCCATCAGCGCCGCCCTCGCCGCCCGCATCTCCATCGCCGCCATCAGCGCCGCCCTCGCCGCCCTCGCCGCCCGCATCTCCATCGCCGCCATCAGCGCCGCCCTCGCCACCCTCGCCGCCCGCATCTCCATCGCCGCCATCAGCGCCGCCCTCGCCGCCCTCGCCGCCCGCATCTCCATCGCCGCCATCAGCGCCGCCCTCGCCACCCTCGCCGCCCGCATCTCCATCGCCGCCAGCAGCGCCGCCCTCGCCGCCCTCGCCGCCCGCATCTCCATCGCCGCCGTCAGCGCCACCCTCGCCGCCGGCATCGCCGTCTCCCCCTGCGTCACCCTCGCCGCCATCAGCGCCACCCTCGCCGCCCGCATCTCCATCGCCGCCGTCAGCGCCGCCCTCGCCGCCCTCGCCGCCCGCATCTCCATCGCCGCCATCAGCGCCGCCCTTGCCGTCGGCATCGCCGTCTCCCCCTGCGTCACCCTCGCCGCCATCAGCGCCACCCTCGCCGCCCGCATCTCCATCGCCGCCATCAGCGCCGCCCTCGCCGCCCTCGCCGCCCGCATCTCCATCGCCGCCGTCAGCGCCACCCTCGCCGCCCTCGCCGCCCGCATCTCCATCGCCGCCGTCAGCGCCACCCTCGCCGCCGGCATCGCCGTCTCCCCCTGCGTCACCCTCGCCGCCATCAGCGCCGCCCTCGCCGCCCGCGTCTCCATCGCCGCCATCAGCGCCGCCCTCGCCTCCCTCGCCGCCCCCACACCACAACGCACCGCCACCCCCGCCACCGCCGCCCTCGCCGCCGCCGTCGTCGCCGCCGCCGTTGCCGCCGCCGCCGCCGCCGCCGCCGCCGACGCCGCCGCCGCCGACGCCGCCGCCGCCGACGCCGCCGCCGCCGCCGCCGCCGCCGCCGCCGCCGCCGCCGCCGCCGACGCCGCCGCCGCCGCCGCCGACGCAGGGGAGTGCGCCACATCTTGTCCTCGATTGCAGAGAGTTCA